AGTCAGGCCTCTTTAGGCCTTGATAATGGCTGTCACATGACAAAGCATAGATTAAATTAGTTTGTGGATGTATTTATTCTATGGGAATGACTTGTCAAATTACAAAATTTGTATAGCCATGTCTATCCCTAATTCAGTGGCACTTTAGTGTATTTAAAATGCAAATCCGAAAAGTATTAAAACTCATCAGCAGTCTGCACTAAATTTGAATTCGTTTAGCAAATATTAGCTGCTTCAACTTTGGTGTATTCTTTGCCATGTAACAAGTAATATGATTGGCCCAAACAATTGAAATGTCATAAATTGAGTTAATAAATATGTACATGACTTCTATGGTGATACATGAAAATCTCATATCTAGGCTTAGTCCCTATGCCAGTGGCATTATGCAATAAGTAAACGAAATGTTCAAGAATAGACTAAAAACACTTATTAAAATTACATAGTATCATTTTATTGTGATTAGCAATTAAGGAAGTAATATTTTAGTCCTGTGCCGGCTGATTCGGCTCTACGTGCCATAGGTTCGTCATTACTGCCATATACACAATTGGAAAATAGAAACCATTAGAAAAGTGTGATGCTACATCCCACTTTTTGTCCAGACTTTAGATCATCATCTGCTTGCAAGATTGAATGGGTGCTATTTTGAGGACAACAATTCTATTAACTTAGCAATCCAAGCGAATATGCATCCAATATATCAAATTCTTTTAACAGGAAAGTCCATGTGAGTTATACACTCAGCAATATACCTTCTTTCAAATTTTAAACTTCTCCCAGAACACCGGGAAAGACGTACTGTGCACATGAGGATTACCTCAAATAATGACACTTTGCACATACGTAATCTATTTATCGAATTCATGTTTGGATGCCATTAAATGCACAGCCAGTTAGTATTAAAAAAAATATATTATGTCAACTTGTTTAATTCATTAGGTTCTCATAAACATTCAGAATACAGGGGTCATACACATTTCTGCACACGGAAATTAAGTACTTTTAAGGACCATTAATAAAAAAAATTAAGGACCTATGAGTAAATGGGAGCTGAATAAATTCAATTAAAATTATTATCTATGCCTGAACTTCACTTTTGCAATACTCAGAGCCAGATTTAGACTTGATAGGGCCTTAAGCTATTGAGATATGGGACCATTTAAGAGTCTGTTATAGTACTATATTTTAATTTTTTAAAGGCCTCCATGAAAATGGGGCTTAAGCTATAGCTTGTATAGCTTATACGTAAATCCTGCACTGGTAATACCATCCTAAAAATACAATAGATCCGCAAGTAGGATGCATTATTATTAAACATGAATTAATTAACATAATTATTGATAAGTTTGAGAATAAAATAAACTTTATGAAATTTATCAAGTGGCATTAAATATTTTACACTTGTAGTACTTGGAAATATTTGAAAGAAGAGAAGTGACATTTTATTTACGTTTTATTAATAGTTAGCTTTATTTATTATTATTATTATTTTTTTTAATATCTCATTTTGTCATACAGTTGCATAGTCTACAGGTTTAGTAAATAGCAGGTAGATTTTATGTCAAGCAGCATAGGTTAAAATGAGAAGTAAGATCATAATCAACATGATTCATAACAAAAGACTGGATGTCACCGCTGCTGCTTGCCTACAGAGAGAACTGCTGATTGGAAGAAACCTGAAAGAACCTTGCCAACCGTGCCTTATGTAGGCACAGTTGGCAAGTTTTGAAAGTTAGTTGGGCTCTGTCTGACACAGTTAGTGTCGTAGCTTCGTGTAGAGTTTTAGAGGTTGTAAGAATTTTTAATAATAAGTAGTTAGTTATAAATAATTAAATTTGGTAGTTTGATAACATTAGTCATTACGGATTTATATGGGCACTACTAAATTTTATTTTTTTTAACAATATTTGTTAAAAAAGCCCTATTAAAATCACGATTTAATAAAATTTCACAGTTTAAAATACATGTAATTTATAACATTGATTCTTAAATGATATAAGGATAATTACACATTAAATCTTACAAAACATAAGTGTTTTGTAACAAGAACACTCAACAAAATATTTATGCGTCTTTTTAATTTGAAGCTTTCCCAAACATTTTGGCTAATTTAAATCGATTTATTTCTCTTTAAGCATATTTTCTAACAATCAGAAATTTGTCTCAATACGCAAACCTAGTGTTCTCACTAGTTTTGGGGTACTTTATCTCCTAACTTGTCAACCTCTTCACAATGTACCTATGAGGGTTTACTTGATCTGGTAAAAGTTAAATAGTCCAAACCCCTGACAGACGTGAAGCAAATCATGACTGAAAGTAAATACAATGTCAGACAAAGGTTTAAATAAGCCTCTTATTTAAAAAGAACTTAAACATTTAATTGATTTAATTTGTAATTGATTTTGCTAGCATGCTCTGATGCTAGCAAAATCAATTACAGCTCATGGTGATATAATTAAACAAGAATTTACAAAATTCAGAAATTTCAGAAATTTGTCTCAATACGCAAACCTAGTGTTCTCACTAGATTTTGAGTATTTTATCTCCTAACTTGTCAACCTCTCTACAATGTACCTATGAGGGTTTACTTGATCTGGTAAAAGTTAAATAGTCCAAAACCCGACAGACGTGAAGCAAATCATGACTGAAAGTAAATACAATGTCAGACAAAGGTTTAAATAAGCTTCTTATTTAAAAAGAACTTAAACATTTAATTGATTTTGCTAGCATGCTCTGATGCTAGCAAAATCAATTACAGCTCATGGTGATATAATTAAACAAGAAAAGTCAAATTCAAACTAAAAATGTGGCCTAGTGTTCATTTATTGTGTATAGAAAGAGATCATCATGATGCTTGTGAACTTAGCGGTCAAAGACGATGCAATTTAATTTTAATTTAAGCTGGCTCAATAACTCTATCATATGAGAAAACAGAAATGGTAAAGACTGAAATCATAAACAGCAGGGTAATTTACATAATAATAACTGTACATATCTTTGAAGAATAATCTTCTTTATGTATTCAGTTTCTCTCTTCAAGAAGATTCCTTTCCATTTTAGAATTTAAATAAGGATTTCTGTTATTCTAAAAAAATGCATTTAGAATGTATAGAAAAAGCTGCTAATTTTATTTCTTTAGTAACATGAACATTCAGAAGAAATATGAAAAATATATAGTAAGGGTCGGTTACAGAGCTGGTGTGGCAGAATTTTTAGAATTTAGAGCAGGCATTGGAATTAAAATTTAGGATCCACAGAGATTGCATCAAGTAGAAAAATCCCTAGCTCTAGCTCTGTGTGTGATGCATTAAAACACATTAGATTAATCTTTTAAACCGTAAGTTTTCAATTTTTTATTCCACGCCTGTCCATGTGATAAGATTAGAAGCATTTTTTGATATTTTCCCGCTTGTGTCTATGAAAATGTAAGAAATAAGGGAAAAGATTCTATATTAGAAGTAAACATTCAAATATCATGTTTTTATTGTTCTTCCAGACCTTCTCCAAAAAGTAAGAAATTCATTGCAAACCTTCTGCAAAATACATCCATTACATGTTAATACCATGGAGACATTTTTCATTTTGTCACATAGGTCTTTAATTGTCTAGAATCATGGGTCTATAAATCTAGCCTTCAAATCCTCTTCAATTTTCCAGGCTTCAATGTCTAAAGTGCTAAAGAAAAGTTATCCCTACCAATTCTGTAACAGCAAAAAGCCAGAAATATTTTGGAAAAGTAAAAGGAGGAAGTAAAATTAATTTTATAGAGAAAACTGATGCATAATCTGAGAACCCTGAATATTCTGAGAAAATTACATGGGAAAAACTCTTACTATGAAAAAATTAGGGAGAAGACATTTTTAATTAATTACATAGCTAAATTTGCTAAGAACTGTTTGGTAAACTGTACATTATAGCATTATATCTTGTTTATTTTTCAGATTCAAAACGGTATAAAAGAAAACTTATAAATGAGAGAAAAACAAAATTCTTTATTTTAAGTTATTTTTTAAATATAATTTCAATACTTAGCATTATTTTAATGAATTTATCAATGTTACAAGTTTTAAAATACTGTCGAAAATTCCCAGATCTTGGAATTAAAAATTTTCTATAGAAAACTGATCTTAAAAAATCGCCAAATGTGATAAGTCGCCAAATTTAGAACCGTTGAATAAAAGAATTCGCATCCCCAAAAGCGAAAAGTTGTGCAAGAGCTCTTTATTATGAAAAATGAATTTTGAAATGCTTATGTTTCACTTCTTGCCTAGAAACTCGAATATGCCACCGTTTATATTAGAAATAGGAACAAATTATAACCCATTCAAAAGGTAACCATATATGTATCAGTGAATCGCCAAAACTATTCCTTCAAAATGCTAACTCACACTCAAAATGGCAGTTGTAAAAACAGACAGAAATTTCAGATGATTAAAATTAAAGACCTTCTGCCGATTTTGGCCAAAAGTAAGGGCTTCTAAGGACCAAAAATCGATTCCAAAAAACCTAAGGACTCTTAGGGACCATACGAACCCTGGAATATGAAGTAAAAGAACACTAGAAGAAAAGTTCAACCTGCTATTTGCTACAGGATTAGGTTTTGTATATTATTTCCTCTAAAAATTTTATAAATTTGTTCTTTTATTTTCTCTTATCTTCTCACAATCTTGAAATTTCTAAAAAACACAGTTTTTATCATGACTTCTGATTTTTAAAGCACAATTAAAAGGTAATATCAATTAAACTCTAGTCTTAAACAGTACATTAACATAATATTTTTGGAATAAAATCTCAAAACTAATTTAATCAATGATCTTATTATTTAAAAAAAAAATAATGACTTTCAAAGAAACAATACAATTTCAATGTCATCTTTTAAGAGACTAATTATAATGTAAGCATAAATTAATAAAGATATTTTATTGAATATTGCTAAAGCTATTTTTGTAAACAATGCTAAAAGCATTTATATCTAGTATGATTTAAAAAAAAATTACCTGTTCTCCTAGTACTTCTGGCTCGTCATCTTCATTTTCCGATATTTTCTCTCCTTCAACACTTTCCTTTTTATCTTCTACAGCTATTTCCTCTTTTTCTTCAGTCTTTTCATTATCTATTAATTCAATTTCTTCAACTGATCCTTCTTGAACTTCTTCATCTTCTTTTACTTCAGTTATAGTTGCCTCCTTAGCAATTTCTCTCACTTTCTCTTCAGCTTGTGCACCAAAAGTTTTGCTAGCATATGCCTTTCGTTTAGCTTCAATTTCCTAAAATCATATGCAAGAATGAATGAAAAAAAAAAGATCAAGAAAAACCATTCATTCTGAAATTTTAATAATTATAAATTAAAAAATTAGTTTTTTTAAGCATTCATTTTGTTCTTGCCGAAGATAGCTCGAACTTATTTAAGATACTTAACTTCAGTAAGTGGACTGTAATATTAAATAAAATTTTATTTTAACAAAAAAACATTATTGAATACTAGCACACGCATGTGCTTATAGTTACCTATGTAACTTAGCTAAAGAGCGAGCAACCATATGTCTTACATCAAGTCAAAATCATTCATACTAATAAAGCAAAAACGAAATAACTTTAGGGTTACACTAAATCCAAACTCTGCTTGGCGTAAAACAATGCTGCCAAGCAATACTCTTTCAGACACCGAACACATTTACTATAAATAAAAATATAAGTAGTAACGAGTAGAAGAATTCTTTGTATTAGCAAAGAGAATATTCTGTACAGCCACTCAACAACAGTAAAATTAATTCAGCAAGTTTGGGACAAATCACATTGCAGCTTTCAAGAAAAGTAGACTAGTCACATTAATAATCACAAAGCATAAGAGTTTATGACACAAATAATGATGTTAACAACAGATCAAACAAGGCATCCAAAATCATCTTATCTTGGGACAGCAGTAAGTCTATGGTGATAATTCTTTTGGAAGATAATGAGAATACATGATGTACCCTAGTACTATAGTTAAGAAGCTTTAATGTATCATGTATGTACATGTACAGTTATGTTTTATTTTGATTATGGCAAGAGTACAAGAGGGCTATCTGCCTAAGGGAAAAAATGTGGAAGATTTTCTGAGAGAAACTAGCTCATATCCACAGTACAAACGAGGAAATCTATGAGAAAGCCCCTGCAGTTAGCCTGTTTACCAGGATTTGAACTCTGGTTGAACTACCAGCGTTCAGTGACTTCACCATTAGACCACTGGTGGGCTATGTTTGTGTACATAGATAACATTAAAAGTTTTTATGTCTGGCAACATAAAATGAGGCAAGGTGATGTGACACCTCCATGATGTAGGCATGAGCTTTTGATATGCAATGTGAACCATCCTGACAGATGAAGTGTTTTTTCCTGCAGAGAAATCGGTTGTAAACTTTTACCTGCCCAGAACAAAACAAAGATTATAAATAACTCCAGCTGCTCAATGTGCTTTATTTTTTCTCCTGCTGCTGCCTGAGAAAGCCATGCCTCTCGCTTCACTGCACTTTTTCTATTACTTACAATGCAAGCTGCACATATAAAATTTATGAGGTGCAAGTGTTGTAATAATTAAGCAAAAATGTATTTCTGAAGAATTGTTCTTGTTCAAAATAAAAAAGATGTTTTAACCATCATCAAGCCAGTTGTGATTTTCCCTTCAGTCATAATCTACAGAACACTTTCCTTTGTCATGACTAAAAAGTGACTAGTTCCATCTTTTCAAGCCAACTCTCTATTAAATTCCATCAATGTACACTGAGTAAAAAAAAAGAGGCAGTTCTATACATCGTGTTCTACTGGGCCGATTGATGAAATTCAAATTGCGTATTTTATGTCTTGAAAGCACAACTTAGAATATGTATGAGATCTATATATAGCACTGTTCTAGCACAGATATTTTGACACAAAAATCGGACTTCTTCTGAAATGACATGCACTTTTTTCTCATACTTCAATTTTACAACTCAAATTATTATGCCTAAATATTAAATTTTGTACAACTGGTAAGAAATTTACGGAGAAATTCCAAAATTTATCTTAGCCCTTTTTTTTTTAGTTTGTGCCAAAAATAATTCACTAGGTGAACTTCTTAATTTATAGCAATTTATTTTCCTTTCGTTTCTAATTGTACAAAAGTGGAGGGGGGGGGGAAGTCATCCTTCATAATTTCAAATAATTTTAACATCACTTATAACAAATATGCCAAATTCCAAAATGCGCCAATATATAAATTCAAGTATATATTAGAAAATCTTGAATAAAAAAACTCGAATTTTTTGCAGGTGTGACTAGAAATACATGTAAAGATGATGTTAAAAATTTTATAGGTTATAATTCAAAAGTTTTTTTCTAGAAAAATTTATAAAAATTATTTAAAAATACAAATTTGCCCAAAAAATGAGCAAATTTTATTTGGAATGAAAACCTAAATTTCGAAATGTGGAACAAAGAATCAAATAAGTTTAATAAAAAAAAAAAGAGAGATTAAATATATATCAAATTCAATGAACAATGAGGAGCTAAAATGTTTTTTGAGCTAATTTTTTAAAAACTATTCATGCGATTTTAACAAAACTTGGCAGTTTGACATAATTTGAGTCGTATAATTGAAATGAAATAAAAAAAAAAGGCATGTCACTTCAGAAAATGTCCGATTTTGTGTGTGTGTGTGATTATGGCAAAGCCTCGAGGGCTATCTGCCTAAAGGGAGGGATGCCTTTCGTGGAGGACTTTCTAAGGGAAACTGGCTCGTATACACGTTACACATGGGGAAAACCACGAAAACACCCATGCAGCCAGCCCGTTCGCGGGATTCGAACCTCGGACCAAACTACCAGTGTTCAGCGACTTTACCGCTCGGCCGCTGGTGGGCCCCAATTTTGTGTCAAAATACTTATATTAGAACAATGCCCTATATAAATCTAATACATATTCTAAGTCGCATTTTCGAGACATAAAAAACACACAAGACATAAGTTGAATTTCCTCCATCAGCCCAGTAGAATGGGGGATCTAGAACTGTCCCCTCCTTTTTTTGTGCAGTGTACCAAAGAAATTATGATATATATATATATGTGTGTAAGACATAACAAAAATATGATAGCTGTTTCAAAAAAATAATTGACGACCTCAAAATTAACATTCTAAATTTGATGATCTACCCCTAAATTTATCTCTTCTCACAAGTTCCAGAGTTTTCTATCTTACGTAACATTTTAATGCAGATACCTCTTGTACAATCAAATTAATTCTAAACCAAAACTGTGAACTGAACTTTCTCACTCCCAGCCTTCTTGCTGTGAAAGTACTATAACCTTTCCTTTTTTTCGGCGTTAGCTCTCCTGCTGGTAAGATGCTTTTCAACCATGCTGCTGCCGCTTACTTGCTTAAGATGACGTCGTACTTTAAAATGGGAGTTATTCTATTCAAATATTATTAAGAAGTATCTTGTCTGAAAAAAGGATTATTTGATATGCATGGAAAAAATAAAGATTGTGATTTTTCAAGATATGTTGTGCTAAATTGTGTCATCATGCTTTCCACTCTGCCACCTTCAAACCACAGTTTCATTACAATAATATGGCGCAGCCGATTTTCGACCCTACAGGCGTGGAACTTCGGTGCAGTTTATTTCAACTAATCTCACATCGTTTAACGAATGGATAAAATAAAAAAGGTAACTATTCATCTGAATTCCCAATCAAGCCACTATTGTCTTTTCGGTCACCTACGCAGTTATCGTAAGCTGTTGGGAGGTCCACTGCTTTCATCTAAGCATTTGAAATCATTACATATTTGTGCTCTCTTGCATGTCCAGTGCTTTATTCAGCTAATTCTTCATATTCAAAAAATGCAATATTATCAAAAATCATGAAGTGTGATTGTGAAGTGATATTAAGTTCCAAATTGAATTTATTTCGTTTCGGAAAAGAAAAAAAAAAAAAAAAAGAAAGAAAAAATTGCATTTAAAAGTTAATTGTATTATGATTTATTAATGGTAATATGTTGCTTAAATCATTTTGAGATCAAAGTTAATAATTTAAAAATTTTATTATTTATTTAAAATGTAGTTTTGTATTTCTGAATTGGGAAAAGAAAAATTATTCAATTTGGTAAAAATTAGGTTAAGGAATTTGAAGGTTTTACTTAGGGAAGGTTCCTAATATGAAAAAATATTTTTGTACTATTGTTTAAATTTCTTTGAATTTAGATTTTTTAATTTTTAGTGTAAGTTTAAGAATGAAATTATTGTTTGAAATTTTTTGAGTTGTAGGAATTTCTTTTAATGCTTTTATGATAAACGTTGAAAGGCTTTCACCCTTATGAAAAAATACATTTTTTATTAATCGTAAGTATTTTTATTTTTTCATAAAATAGGAGTGTGTTTTTAATATTCGTATGGAATGAATTACAGCAGTTCGAAAAAAGGCCAGTTGCCTCTACAGAAGGAACGGAGGCCTTTTCTACAGTAACTGCTAATTTGGCAAATCGTTTGGCCACTGGTGAAGAATATTAAACACCAGTTTGCTCAACTGATAAACCAATATGATAGAAATGCTAGTATTTAGATAAAGCTGTGGAGTCTTCAAGTTTTGTAAAGAATAAGTAAATTTTAAAATGTCTTAATCATAGTGAAAAATTTGAAATTGTGTTTATGAATGATTTATATTTTAAAATGCCTTCCTTGAAAAACATAATTAAATAATATGAAAATTGGCATCTTAATTTAGAAATATTTTCATCAACAAAAATTTGAAAGCCTTTTATTTGAACATTTAGTTTGTGAAAAAATTTGAACTTTTACCATGTGGAACTATCAAGAACTGTACAAAATTTCATTGGACATTCTTATCTCAGAACACTAAAATGTGCAATTGTTTTAAAAGAGTACAGTGTCTAAAATTATTATTGAATTCAAAATTTTATGACATTCAATGAAATGTCAAAATTGATTCAAAATATCGGTCAAAATTTTATGACAATAATTTTTTGTTTAAAAGTTAATATGTTTGTATTTCAAAATTATATCTTTCACATTTTGCTGCTCTAATGCTTGTTCTGCCACCCTGCTCACCCAGCCTTCTTTTGAAGGGGGGATATGTAAGATATAACAAAATATGATAGCTGTTTCAAAAAAATAATTGACTTCAAAATTAACATTCTAAATTTGATGATCTACCCCTAAATTTATCTCTTCTCACAGGTTCCAGAGTTTTCTATCTTACGTAATGTTTTAATGCAGATACCTCTTGTCCAATCA